CGAAGAATACGATGAGCAAAACAAGAAACAATCGTCAATTATTAATTCCTTCCTATTCTAATAATTATGTAAAGAAAGATAACACTTATGGTCGGTAATAAAATATACAAAAAATATGCTATATTATTGTAATTATATATATATAAAATAAAATATACTAATATTTTTTTTTTTTTTTTTATATTTTATATACAAAGAATATAAGAAAGAATACAATATAATAATATAATAGATAAACAATTAAAGTATCTTGCCAGTAAATATCTTTCATTTAAATAGGAAAGAATTAACGTATACACAATTGTCGCTCGTATTTTATGTGAGACTCATTTTACATACTAATTACGTCTTTTGTCGTATATGTCATTCATATTCAATATTATAAAAACATGTTCTCTCATAAAGTAATACGGGGGGGGGGAAATATTAATAATATATTAAATTCATCTAATTTGAAAACGATTAAAACAATTACTTCTAATGAAGCATTAATTAGCATTAAAATTTGATCAAAGAAGAAAAATTTTTTTTTTTGGATAAATTTTAATAACAATAATAATACGAAGAAAATTTAATATGAAATTTAAAGAAAAAAAAACAAAAAAACATTATCTAAATCATGGACGAGCATCGTATCAATAAGATAAAATGCATTTATATATATATATATATATTGGAGGTAATCGTAAAAGATAATATACTATAAGATAAATTCTGTAATTTCAAGCAATCACAATAAGCTTTGATTATATTATGATCTCCGAAGGAAAAATGCTGATTTTTTTTTTTTTGCTTTTTTTTTTAAATAGTTTTTTTCTTCTTCTTCTATGCACAATATTTCAAATGTGCTTTTCACGTACGACGTGCATGATACAATCGGATTGGTTTTTTTTTATATAGGGCAAATCATCTCGACGATTCTCATCATGCTTTTTTCTTTCTCTCTCCTTTTTTGCAAAGACACATATCAACAGAGCAACAAGAAAAGCATACGAATGCTTTCTTTCTCTTTTTTCTCATTCCGTCTAATATTTATCGATCAGTCCTAATGAAAGTACAAGCATATAAGTTATAATGTAAAAGTATACGAATACCGGGAGATAGATATTTCATGCTACGATTCGTAAACAATGTCGTAGCTTATATTTTTTTTTCTTTTTTGTCCATTTCCTTTTGATATAAAGATGGAATAGGGGATTTTTGAAAAGGCTTGGCACGTGATCACCACCTCCTAGTACCTCTTGGACCCTCTTCTTTTTCCCACGGTTTTAGTATTTATTTATTTTTTTTCTTCTTCTTTCTCTCTCTCTCTCTCTCTCTCTCTCTCTCTTTAATCTACCTAACGCTTTTAAAATGGACAACACACACACACACACACACTTAGAGACACGTGTGTGCGTGGTATAAGTAACTTGATTAAAAGTAAAAACTATATTTTTTATTACTTTTTTTTTTCTTTTTTTCCTTTCACATTTTTACTACTTCTCTCCTTGTTTTTTTTTTTCTCTTCTTTAGCCCATCATTGTTTTACTTTTCCAAGTTTCGTGTCGTGGCCATGAAAAGCAATGTGGCGGCGGTTGTGGCTGTAGTTGATGATGATGATGATGATGATGATGGCGACGACAACGACGACGACGACGAAAACCTTTGGACTTCATACATATATATATATATATATATATATA